GCATGACAAAGTCACGTTAACAAAATCCTATTACAATGTTATATCCTATTGTTCTAAAGCGTTTTACAACCAATTTAAGAATCAGAAAAGTACAAGACAGTGCTTAAGAATTTAGAATATTTTAGGTTGCAGCGCCATAAACAAGAATAATGGTAGATGCTTCATAGTACTTAATATAAAAGGTGAAGTGAATGGCGAAACACAATGCCTAGTAAAAGCTAGAAGAACCCAAATTCTTTTAATATCAGGGCGTAAAATGTTTATACTTTTGCGAATAATGTAAGATTTGAAAGTAAGTAGATATATTCTTATTGTAGTCTCGTCGTTGTTGTACAGAATGGATTGTTACATGTAAGAACAGAAATATATTTTTTGTAATAAAAGCCAATATAATATCAGAAAGTACGTACCTATTTAATCTATGATATATCATCTCTCACAGTAACGCAATTTATAATATAATTTATTATGGTACCAGTAGAGTGGATAAAATTTTCGAGTATGACAACCCTTCTATGTTAGCATATTTATTACGCTATAATCAGTGCTGCAATATGGCAAAAAATAATGAACGTCATAAAAACAAGTACACCCTTGAGACTACAAGACATCTCAATTCACCGGATGAGAAAAAAAACAATAATAATCTCGGTTAAGACCCCTTAAATAGTAAAAAAAAAACAATAAAGCGGTAGCGAAACTAGTTCCAGTCATCTTACATCTTGACAAGTGGAAGTAAACAAACTTTACGATCCTTTCGAGGGGGTACAGAAAAAAAGTTTTTTTTTGGAGAACAATCGTAAACGTGACGCTATTGAAATGTTTTAGGACTACAGCACCATGTGCTTGGCGCCATGGGACCTATAAGTTTCGGAAGCCGTTAAATAGGCCAGCCATATGTGATGATTTGCGGAAAATTGCGGAATTTTAATTTACTGACTCGATAAATGGTTGGGATCGAAAATTTTATATTTATTGCTAATGCATATATAGAATTTCACGGTATGTTTACAAAGTTTGTTACAACGGAAAAAATGTGTAGTCTTACATTCTTACATACCTTTTCTTGTTGAACAATTGCCGAAATTCCTTTTCTTAGGGAGACACCTACCTACGATCAGGATTGAGACAAACATTAGTTAATCACAATGATAAATTCGTTCGTTTATCGTCAATACATGTTCCACTACTAGGTACGGGTCTCCTCTGAGAGAAGTAGAGGCTATAGTCCGCCATGATGGTCAAGCTTTGGATTTTTGAACTGAATGGACTTGCTCTTAACCAATACCTAACCCCGGAGCAAAGTAGGATCTACGATGGACGACGATTCAGTCGTACCTTAAAGATACTCGGGTTGCAAATGTAGGATGTAACATGTTTTCGAAGGGTTGTGACCTTCCTCGACGTGCAGTTTTCATCACAATATTTTCCTTCACCATCAGGGAGAGGTTTTTTTTAATTAATAGACACATACTGGCCACAATCTCACTTGATGTTAAGCGACGATGTGACCGACGATAGGACGCGTTTCCCTAAAAAATGCCTATTCACTTTAGCCTTGAATAGCCCCAAATTGTACTTTTCGGAAAATACAGATAGAGAATTCCATTCCCTTGCCGTACGCAACAGAAAGGAGGAAGCAAAGCGCTTAGTGCGTATAGGTGGAATATCAACGACATGAGAATGGAGATCTCCAGACCTTCTAGTCGACCGAAAGAGGAACGGTGAGGGTGGAACTAAATTGAAAAGTGCCTGCGCACACTCCCCGAAATATATCCGATAAAAAACCGACAAGCAGGCTAGTCTTCTGCGATGGTCGAAATTTTGTAGCTTCGACTCCGCAAGAGAATTGTTGTTAATAAGTATTTATTTATTTATTTATTTATTTATTTATCCATAGATATACAGCTTGTTCCTATACTATACACCAAGTCTCTTTGCTTTTCGCTCCACCAAGTCCAAGGCAGCTAACTGGTAATGGCAGAGCCGTCCCAAAGGTGGCAGCAGTACTCCCTACACGATCGAACTTGTACAGATTTAAAAGCTGTTCAGGTAATCAGGTAATGCTATTAAACATTCATAAATATACGTAATTTAGAAACTAACTCTACCTCTCAATTAAGAAGCAACTATACTTCCACAAGGCTATCACCACATTGACAATGGAGAGCCAACACAAAATAAAGAGTTTTTGTTAATGCTAAAAAACAGGCCAATATAGTACACTCAAAGTCAAACAATCATTTATTGCATAGGTAAAATTTGAAACGTTTGAAAGTGTCATTTTTTAAGCTACTGCTCGTTCACTACGCTGACCTCCCTGAGAAGAACGAGCAAGAAACTTTAGGAATTGCTCTTTTCAAATAAACTTAAATGCTATGGAATACACTTTGAATCATAATTGTGTGGAATCTAAACTCTTGTTGTCTTTTCATACTTTATTTAAAACATACTCTTCAATTTTGTAATATGACTTTTCAATTAAAATACTTTTAACGTAAGTTTTAAATTAAGGAATTGATAATCTTAAAATATTCTTCGGAATCTTATTGTAAAAACGTATACAGTTTCCCATAAAATAATCGTTTATCTTAGTTAAACGAAACCGTGGCACCAAGAGTTTGGACTTAGTTCTAAGGTTAATATTATGAATATCTTCTTACTTAATGAAATTATGTATATTTTTTATATTTTGAGTTGGTATGATTGCTTTGTGGAACCCAAAAATTATGATGATGAATTTATTATAAATACTTCAGATATTGTTATCATCATCATCCATTTATAACATTTCACTATTTTCACTGCTAGGTGAAGAAAATTGAGCGATTTAACAAAAGTTTCTTTTTTAGAATAAAGAAAAATATTTTGTTACAAACGTTACGTTGAGCTTTTAATTCGAAAGGAAATTAATGTAAAAACATTCCGACTGCATAATGTTGACGGATGTTTTGTTGTGTTAAGCAAAATTAGAAGTTTTCTGGACAATTTATACCGCACACAATAGTGTTGTTAATTTTTTTATTTATATAATATCGATAAGCTATTATAAATCATTAAAACTGCAAAAGCCGCAATTTCACCCCGTTATAGCTTCTGCGCTCTTAAACGTCCCGCACCTGAGCACGGGTTTCCTCTCAGGCGAGTGCTAAGGCCATAGTCTATTTTATTTTATTTTTATTTATATATAAATAAAAATAAAAAAATAAAATAGTCGGCCATGCTGACCCAATGTGGGTTGGGGGTAGTGAACCTTTTTCAACGTGCAGGTGTTTTCCTTAACCGAAAAGCTCACGGTAAATTACAAATAAAATTCCGAAAAACTCGGAGGTACGAGACCGGATTCGAACCCATAGCGTCTGCTTGAGCGGCGGTAGTGCAAACCATTACGTTGCCACGGCTTTTAAATAATGCAAATACGGCAATTACATATGTATAAATAATGTTATATCAAACAAAAATAATAAATCTCATATAACACGTCCACTTGAAATGATACAACTGCCCAATAAATAACGTCTAATTGTTCTTGACCTTACAAATTTATACCAACAATAAAGCGGAAGACTCCATACGTCTTTACAATATAAACTTTTATTACAACAAGCCACATAGGTTTATTATTGTCCCTGAAGGCGTGTACCGTGCAAGATGTCTGAGCTATTGTTAGTAGTGTACTAGAAAATGGCTAGATCGCTATTCAGACGGGCTTTTATGGCTAAACGGGGTCTTAGCCAGTATAACAAACTACCCTTGCGACGGTTAACTGAATGCGTGTTCTTTAAACGGGACTTTTGATAGTTCTTGTAAAATTTATCTGTTAAGTATTTCAATGTTGTATAGTAAATTCGTATTCTCTATTGGAAAGATTATTGGGGCTATCTCTTTATTATTAGGGTCTAGAACTTCTAATCTAATCTTTTTTCTTGAAACATATGTACTGACAATGTTAAGGAATTTATATGAGTGGTATAAAATTTAGTTTTTATTTAGGGTTTCTTTATTAACATTTTCTATTTGATTATACATTGCAATTAAATTCCTTGAGCGTCTTGTTTCAATTATTCATTGTCTTCTGTTGGTTCTATCTTTTCAGCATTTTTTATTAATGCACTTACTGTATAACAGGACGCTTTATTGGCTATTGGTACATACACTTTACGGTCTTTTCCCGTGGGGACAGACAGGGACAACAGCCTTCCACTTGCTACGATCCTACCATATATCTTTCGCCTCATCAACACGCAATAATGCCTTTACACACGCTGGTTAGATAAGGATGCTCTCGGCCTTTATTCAGGACGTCTTCAATTTGGATATTGATGGTACCGGTAATTAGGTAAATCTGACCTTTCTAATTGGACTGGTTCTCTATAAGACTGCAGGTTATTATTATGAAATACATCTATGGAGAAATTTCTTTTCTTAACAATTTTCAATGGACCATTAAGCATGAGTTTTTTTCATTATGTCTTTAAACGTAATTTCACAAAGAATTTTTAACACAATTAAGGACCCCTAATGCAATAGAAATTTGTTCACAATTTGCCGTTGTATAGAATATTTCGTGCTTTTTTTATAATATATTTCATTTGGCTGCGGTTGACGGATCTTTTGTGTAATATTTGTTGATTTAATAATCTTAATCGTTTGTAAGGTATAGAAGTTTTATTGTGAAGTTATGATTTGGGTACCATTTGGACATCTGTCACTTTTTGTGCACGGCATTTGCTGTATTTATTGCTAGATATTATATAAATATTATACACTAATATTGTGTACTTGAATATTGTACAGAACATTGAAAAAAAAAGTAAGTAACTTTAGTAAAATTTGTAAATTTAACAACAATCAGAAAATGACAAAAGCGACAAAAGCTGGATTGATGTAGTACACTTTCTACGAATTGCATAGGTAGATATATCACTATTTATTTTATATAGTATAATGATTGTAATAAAACCATAATCAAGTACTATTTATCCTGATAAACTACTTACAAGTTTATTTCTCCTAACAATCACTTCAGACTACATCAAGAACATCACAACACATGAAGCCGCCAAAAATACCAAACACAAAACCGCAACACAGAAGTTAACACATCACCAGCACGATTTCTAAAATTTTTACGAAAAAAAATATAAATCACGGTCACACGTCCGCCCGCGGCGGCGTCTGGGCACTGAATAAAACATCTCACAGCATATGGTGGCCGAAACCTTAACAAAAACTATTCACAGAAAAATTTATAACACGTCAAATCTTCGGAGAAATGGTTTCCTCCAGATAGAGACGTTATTTCGTGTGTATAAAATTAATTGTGCAGACCCCTTGGACGCATCTGCCGGCTATTGTGTTTTTTTAATGTGGAGGCTTATTTCGTAAAGTCGGTAGTTATGTGTGATGTAGTTTGGGATTTGTAAGAAATTTTAAAATTTGTTACATTTTTGTAGCGTAATAATACAAACAGATCGTGATAATAATAAAAGACGACCTCGACAGCCCAGCAGTTAGTGATATAAGCTCTAGATGAGGAGGTCCCGGGTTCGTTTTCGGGTATGTCTAATTTGGGAAACGAACTTGCTTGTCTAAATTGGGCCTGATCTAGATGTTCTGAATAATGCCTTGGGGTAAATTGTACGACCAATTACGCTATGCCCTTAACGTGATTTATATAACGTTTTAAAATTCAAAATATAAAATATAAAAAGAAAATCGATATTATATTTTTGCATTCCGTTTGCCGGAAGTTGACTGTTGCATTGTTAAAATATTTCATTTAAATGTATTGACATTATATGTAAATTACCAACAGAAATTAAAAGCGTACCCTAACAGTCTAAATATAAGGTTAATATTAATTTAAAGTCGCGGTGACATACTTATATTACATTTATCGGATCTTAAAAGCATGTATGTTACACGTCGCTTTTATAACATCGTCACTTTAATTCAATAGATAATAAAAGAAAAAATACTTTATGATTTTATATATAAGGCTCATATTTGAAGCAACGGTTTATTTTAATTTTATTTTATTTAATTATCAGATAAACACAAACAAATACATACAAAACAAATAACAAACATTGAACAAGCAAGATTAAATAAATATGAACCAACGTGTTCCACAAATGTGTGACGATTTCATTTTCGAGTATGCCTTACTACGCCTCACTAGGTTTACTATATTAAATTAGGTCTTAGTAATAATTACATTAATCTGTTTCCATAAAACTGTAATTAGGCCGAAATTTGAACTTTAGAAAATAGTATTTAATGGATTCTAATTACTAACGTACATTAAGAGTGAATTTGTGTTCGGAATAGACAGTTATTTATCTAAACTCCAAAGTTATACTTAGAGTGAATAATACCATCCTCTGAAATCGCAGAACAATTAAAATAAAAAGACACAATAATAAAAAAACAAAACAGTGGTATATTTTTTGCAAAACTTTTCTTCTAAAGACACCATCGAAAAATATGAAAATGATTCCTGGTTTTCAGAGGGAGGAATTGTTCACTCTATATGTGTTTATATAAATTGTAAAGAATGCATTTTTGTATCTCTATTCTACTATTGACAATTTCGGTACCCCAGAAGTTGACATTGGGTTCAAGATGAGGAACTCCCGAGTTCGATTCCCGATAGGACCAAATAGGGAAATAAGCTTTTCTAAATTGATCTTCATGATGATTATAATTATAATTTTGCATGAATTAATGAAACTGATATTTTTTATGATATTGAGTGACGGGACGAACAAGTCATTCACCTGGTGGTAAGCGACACGCCTGTCCATAAGAGTTTTATGGCACTCAGAGATTTCCAAACATCTGATGGGCACTGCCATATTGCGCCCGTCACCCTGAGACTTACACTTCAAAAGCGAAACCGAGTAATGCTCACATTACTGCTTGGCAGCAGAAATAGGTAAGGCAGTTCTTCCCTGGACGAACTCTTTCACAAGGAGCTCTCCTGACCTAAATGTGATTTCATTGCGAGTATAACTTTTTCTCAGAATCTTCATAAAGCAATCGTATATTCCCAGCAATCATATGAATGTGAAAAGATCAGATTCACTCATTAAAATTCTGTAACCGATACCGACCTTATCATAATTATTCAACGAATGATTAATTCAGATACAAAAGTTCGTGTTCGGTACGTGTTACCGATACTCATAAACAATTTGATAACGAACATCTCGAAAGCAAATGCTTATATTGCATTTCAATTACCATATAAAATGTACAAAGGTACACGAACCATGAGAGAATGCAACTTCGGTTTGATAATCATCTAATCAGAAATCATTCAATAAGTTTTATTCCAAGCGCCGAGAAACCGATCAGCGCAGCGTGATCCAAGTAATCTCAATCTCTAATCCATAGTGAATAAAGACGGTATTACCCTGCAACAAATCACAAACCAAATCTTAAGTATTATCTTAAAGCCTTTGCGTCTCACATTTTCAGAACAACAAGAACCATATTGAAGATACAATCTCACACTTATAAAGATCCAATTTGAGTTGATTTTTGTGTACAACAAGTTTCCAAGAACGATGTTCTTCCAACAAGAATGTGGAAAACGTCAACTAGTGCTCGAAAGGCAAAACGATGCTCCACGGCGTGTTGTCGGTGCCATCAATGCTGGAAAAGTCGTCAGACAAAAAATAAAGCAAACAATCACTTCGTTGCAGGCTGACACACTGGCTGGTTTTATTATTTTTTTTCTTTACAAGCACCAGTGTGTACCTTAATTACTGCTATTGTTTAAAGGACATTAAAAAATAGAGCACAAAATTCGAATGCCAGCGGTTCATCGAATCACTTTTCCCCCCGATGGTAATAAAAAACACTGTACGAAACTTTACAACTTAATTACATACATCTGTTAGTGGACTGACAATTTATAATCCACCTTTGTCCCGCAATAAATTGTAACAGAGACAATAAAGTTATTTTGCGGGAACAAAAAACAAGGCTGAAGAAAACAAAGCGCATAATTAATTAAACAACATAATAAGCCGTCGATTCGGGATGAAGTCGGACACCTGCAAGAACTAAACGTCTTCATTATAATGAGGTATAGAATAGTAACAGGTGCGTTTCGAAATGATTGGAAGCTGAGCGCAATTTTATCACAGTTAATTACAATGTGCAACTAATAAGTTGTTTGCCGATGTGTCGATTTCATATAGTGTCATTAAGGTTTATTGCGATAGAAATTTGAGAATGATTCAAAAGTTATAAATTCTTGATTGATCGGACAAGCAATTATGTGTTAGCCTACATTCATAATTGGTGTTTTTCGATTGGCACTTAACTCTTCATCAGTGTAATTAAAATGTTTGATAAAACTTTTGAGTTTAAAGAATAAGGAAATTCTAACCTTGTTATTCGAAACGAATGCTTACTGAGAATCTTTCTCTAATTACACAGCGGTTCTGTTTAAGTTTGTACTGTTTACAAAGTCACGATCCTGGTAATTGTTTCGGCTGATGTTCGCTAACGTTGACAGGCACCCCGGGGACGTGTGTACTGGCGCCGATTGGCGGGAAGCTTCAAGATGGCGGCCGACCTCGCCTGACCCATCCGTCAAGCGCGAAGGTGGAACATCTGTTTTAACATGTCGGACTGGCAGTTAATAAAGTCATTCCATTTTCAAACGGGGAATATTGGGATTTTAAGAAGAAATAAATTGGCCTGTTCACTAGTTTTTCGTTTTCTTTTTTTTTATTTTGTTACGGATTAGGCGACATTTGTTTGGTTACGGTTTTCTGTGGAAACAAACTGAATGACGTTCTTGGAATGAAGATGTTTTAGTGACGTTGATATAGGGCAGCTGTCATCGATAATTCCTAATTTGGTTTCTTGGAATATCATTCCCAATACCAAACATTCTTGTAGTTTAATACCCGTATCTTAATTTGTAAACGTTAAATTTTACTATTTATACTTGTAGTAAGAAAGTCTGTACATTATATCATTCAATACGTTTTTGTTTATGTCCAGTTGAAAAGTTCAGGTCCAAATTCCTTGTACAGTCTACGGTGTATGAAAGATCTGATGTACGAACGCAGGAAATAGAAGAAGTAAGTAAATGTCGCATTTCAAACTGACTGGAAATAGGCGTAACAGCATTGTTTAGTACAGACAATCGAATAACATTTTATACGTCATAATATCAAGAAAAATTTCACCACCTATGAGTAACTAGTTATATAGTCAATTTATTCGAAAGGATACGACTTGTATATTACAATGTTTAGACCAATTTTGTTAAAGTCGACCTTATTGAAACAAAAACGTACATTTTCCTGATTTACACTTCTGAATAACGTTTCTTCCCTCCCATTTCTAAAACATGAACTCGCGAAACTAACAAAAGAAAGTTAATATAAAAGAATATAACAGCAATTGCCTGAGGCCCGCAATTTGTTCTTCAGCTACCCAAATTCGCATAGGGGCCAACTTTGATTGTATATCACTCCCTCTTGTTCACAACAGTCGTTAGCATGTCGACGATCGCTCTGATCCTTGTATTTATTACTTGTTGCAACATTGTTCTACTTAGACGTTTAGTCCGCAAACTGAAACTGTTTTTGGCGTACAACCAAGCGTGTTGCGTTTTGCGGAACATGGATTAGTAGCGAGTGTTGCTACTAAATCATAGCGGTTGTTCAACATACTTTGTATTTCACTCTTGCTTAGGGCATGTAGTCTTAAAAGTAAATTATCTAAGAGATGTTGTTTGAAAAACGTGCCATATCTTTGGTAGGCCCGACGTATAGCGTCTTGTTTTTAAAATTGGTGCTTTCCACTATCCAATTGTGGACATACGCGTTTCTTTCCCGTATGTTATGTTTACATCGCAAACATCTTTATTAACCGACTTCAAAAAAGTAGGAGGTTAACTGGTCATTTTTTATTTGTGTGTATGTTACGTGATAACTCCGATATTTTTTCAAATTCAAATTCAAATAAAAAATATTTCGCCAATATTACAGCACAGTACAGTACATGAGTCACAAAATGAAATAAAATAAAAACATACTCTACATACAAACATACAAATATTATTGAAAATGTATTGTCCAAGAGTCATGGGTCTCAACCGCTACCACTATCCACATCCACATTTGTGGACCGATTTCGACGATTCTTT